ATAAAAAAAAAAGAAAAAAAAAAATAAAAAAAATAAATACCTGTTAAAAGAGGAATTGGGGCCAGTGAGGTAGCTCAGTGGTCTGCAGCGCCTGCTTAGGCAAACTTAGGCAGGCGCAGGGGACCACAGTTTGATCCCTTGTGCCACATACCAAGCCAGCCCCACCCTCACAGTGGGCTGAGTGAGCCAGCCAAAAAGAAAAAAAAAAAAAAAAAAAAAAAAAAAAAAGGAATTAAGTGAATAAGTAGGTGGTTAGTAAACATCATCTTGATTTTAAAAGTGAAAAAAGAAAAACCTCAGGGCCAAAGGGGTGACAACTAATTAATGGCAACTGAAAATAGCACTGCTACTTTCTTTCTTTTTTTTTTTTTAGACAGGGTTTTGATAAATCACTAGGTTGCCCAGGTTGGGTTTGAACTTGCATCCACCCCCAGGCCTCCGTATCACATAGCGCTGGGATTTCAGGTGGGCTCCACCATGCCTGGATAATCCCAATTTTAATTGCTACTATTGCTAAATCTCTTCTATGATTTGAAGGAAAATCTGTTTTCTAAAAATTAATCTAAAAGTTAAAATTATTCCAATGACCTGAGTCGTCCTTTCAAAGCATTGAACTCAAAGCAGAAAAAGGAGGGGAAGACAAAGTCTATGTCATCCAGGACTCTTCTTTGTTGAAAATAATGGCGATCATGCCCTCAGACCCCCTCCAGCATGTTTTTTTCTTTTTGCCTTCACGAGGGCTGGTTTCTCGTAGCCCTGGACAATCCTGCGGTCCTTCACAGATGGGGACTCCAGTGCTCGTGGGCTCTACCCCAGGAGCTCCTGAGGGGGGCTCTCTTGGGTCCTGAGGCCACAGCTCCCCCCGGCAGTCGCCTCCCCTCCAGTCCCCACACCGACCTGCCGCTGCCCTACAAGATCACTAGCACAGATGAGTGGATGGAGAAGATGTGGTCTTTACACACAGCAGGGTACTACTTCACTATAGGAAGACACATTTGAGTATTTGTAGAAAAATGGGTGCACCTTGATACTGTAATATTAAGTGAAGGAAGTGGCTTCAAGTGCCACCTGTCTTCTCCTAGGTGAGAAACCCAATGTGCACACGATTTAAAACACAAAATAAAAGACAATAAGAAACTGGGAGATGTTTTGGCAAACAGGAACAGGGTCCAGAGACAGAGGGAAAAGAGGGGAGGAGAAGGGAGGGAGGGAGGGTGCCTAAGCCCATCGCAAACGCGGTGCTGAGACCTTGCACTTGTGTGCTAAGAAAAAGGCATTTCAGGGAGCTGCTAGGAAGACAGGGAGAAAGCCTCTCACAGGGGACAAACCACGTCCGTCCCGGGGTCGCTGCAGGCCCAGGTCGCCGAGCTCCTGGAGGCAGGGCCGGCCTTGGGGTGAGCCCCGGAGCCCACCTGGTCACGCCGCTTACCTGGCTCTCCCACCCCGTCCTGTACAGCTCAGGTCCGGCGGCGGCAGTGTCGCCTCCCCTCCAGTCCCCACGCCGACCTGCCGCTGCCGACCGGCCGCGGGGATTTGCATTTCTCCTCCCACTCAGGCTTTCCTGTGCGTCAGAGCCAGAGTCTCCGGGACTTTACTGGGTCTTCCCAGCGCAGCTCAGGCACTGGGGCGGGGTGCAAGGCCGGGGCGCCCCCTCCACCCTTCTGGCTACGTCTGCGGGGGGGGGGGGGGGAGGGGATGCGCTGCGGAAAAGCGCTGCAAACCTACTGACCTGGAACCGAGCTTCCCGGCTTCCCGGCTGCCTGGCTGCCCAGGTTCAGACTCCTCTCAGCCCAGCGGGAAGGCAGTCACCCCAACAACCAATGCCCAACCGCCCGAGACTTTGGACCTGGGGGTGCAGGCAGCAGGCCAGCTTGGGGAGCTCAACAGCACCCTCTCTGAGCCACAGGGGCACTCTCCCCTGGCTCCCAGGTAGCCAGGGTACCCTCTCCCTCTGTGACAAAACCTGTTCTAGAACCCCTGGGCTCCAGGGTCCCCTCTGGGGCTACACTTGTTTCTCCTTCCCAGAAGTGGCCAAAGTCCCTCTTAGGATGCTGCCACCAGGCCCGCATCGTGGGCGGCCTGCTCACACTCACACTGCAGGGATCCTTCCCGCTCACCTCCTCGAGAGAGAGATGCCACCTCCTCCATCCATCTGAAGCATCTAACCTGAAGCATCCCACCACGAGCTCTGAACATGTGCAGTAAGATAAAGACAAAGTAAGAAGAAAGACAGACTAGAGGGCGGGCAGAAAGCGAGGTCCAACCCAACTGTGCGCCTGCCCAGGACCCTATACCAGGGTAGAAGACGGATGCCACCACTCTGACCTCTACAACACAGGTATTCTGGATCTCTCCTCTTCCGGGTGACATTAGCACCATGTGCTTAAATCTACCACCCTACACCTCCTCCAAACTAACCTTGAAGTCCACTGTCTCTGTCACTGAAGATACTACGTGGATGCACCTTGTCCTGGGTGGTTTCCAGGAGCCTGCCTCCATCGCTCAATCCTCAGAGGACCTAAGTCCCTGACCTGGGCTACTTCAGAAGTTCCAGGCAAAGACCATTTTCCTCTGTGGTAGTGGTTCCTGCCAATAGCCAGAGGTCCAAATTCCTGGAGCTCAGAGTTCAGTTTGAAACTCTCCTCTACACAGCATGTGATACTGCTCAGAGCTGTCTCTGACAGCTCTGGATGAACCTGAAGCATCTCACCAAGAACGCCTCCTTCCCCGGGAAACTTTCTCTCTACCTTGTCCTTTCCTTGAAACCCTATCCTTGCTGAAGACTTCCTGGGGGACCCAAATCCAACACAACTTCTCTTACCTATCAAATCCTATCACTCAAACTAGTGCTGTCCAGGAGAAAGAAAATACAAGCTGCATAAGTAAGTTTTTAGTAGCCGAACTGACATAGGAAAAAGGAAGACGTGACAGAAAGACTACATAACCTAGTGGCTACAAAACATTAAGGTGTTGGCCTGTGGCCAATGTAGAAGCCCTCCATGAGATACTTTGCAAGTCTGGTGTCACACTGGCCCTCCGAGGTCTCATGGGTATGTCACAGGTAGAGCCCCTCTCAATTCAGCCCAGCTGTGTTCTCTTTTTCGGCGTTAAGAACCACACGCGGCCAGCAGTTGTCGCGCTGGACAGCACAGACACAGGCCCCTCCTTTGGCACTTTCCACTTCCTGCCCGGTAGCCTTGGTCACTCTGTTTCTAAGTCCTTGTCAATGTTGCACCCAGTGCAGAGCGATCACTCCCTTTGTAGGAGCCTCCCTGTAGGAGTCCCTCAGCCCTTCTCAGATTCTTTGGTCTCAAGACACTTTCATAAATTTTTTAATTGTTCACAACTCCCCCCAATTTTGTATTTTTGTTCTGCAAGGAATTTTTATTCACTGTGTTGGATCAAAAGTAAAATATTCTCTTAAAATTACAATATTATGCTCATTATGTGCTAAAATAACACAATTTATTTAAAAAACTATGTCTCTCAACACAAAATATTAGTAAGAGTGGCATTGATTTACATTTTAAAATCTCTTCAATATCTGACTTCAGAGCAGACAGCTGGATTCTCAGAAAGCCTTCTGCATTTCATCTGTTGTCAAATATTATTTTAAACTGAGATATTTGAAGAAGTCAAAAAGAAAATTAAGACTGACACAGCTACATAGTTAGCCAAGGGCAGAGTAACTTGCAGGCTTTTCAGATCCCTCGCACGCCCAGAAAGCAGCAGCTTCTGAAGGCCAGCTGCACTGCGGAATGCAAACCCTTACCGGTGAACTTTTGCAGGTGGTCACATTAGAATGCACTGGTGGATGCAGTATTTTGAATGGACCATTTGCCCACACAGTTGCGCAGCACATGGGTCATTTGGAAAGTATTGGTCCATTGAATCACACAGATTTTCTAACAGCTGGAACACTTCACTAGACCACAGCAGAAATTCCACTGGGCGCTGCGGCCACTGATCTCCGAAGACGGCTGGAAGTCATGGGGAGGTGTCGAACTCGTGGCGATGGATACGCTTTCTACATTCTGTTCTTTCTCAGTGGCCTAATTTTGTTCATGAAGATAGATAAGGCCAGCTGTTTTCTGAGAAACCAAATCCTCGGGTCAGTAGCTCAGGCCCAAAACATGTGTACTCAAGGGCTGAGATTTAGTAAAATTCAATCATCTTACAGCTTCATCAAAATTAAGTTGAAGTGCCCTCTTTAAAGTTCTCAGTGTGTGACGATGAAGAACAAAATAATTCCCGGCGCGCCTCGGCGACGCTGCTAGGGCCTTCGCAGCTTTCCTCATCCCTGCTTGTGTGCTGTTGGTGTAACAGCGTGAAGGCCAAAACCATATTTGTACCATTATGAACATAGCTTAACCTTGCAGATCCTGAGGCGCTCCTGGGCCATTCACGGGGGTCTCAGGGTGACAGAGAGCTCTGTTCTGTTGCCATGTCCTGTTCACTGTAATCCACTTACGCTGACGCGCATACCGCAGGGAATCCCCACCCAAGTGGACATCGCGTCCTGCACTGGAGTGTGTGCCTTGGGCCTCTGTCTCATCTCAGAAGCAGAGCCAACAGCTGAAAAGGGCACTGCTGTGCCCACTGAAGTTCTCCTTCTTAGAGTCCAGTCTAAATGGTCAAGTCCTCAATTTCTGCTCTTTAAAAAATGTATGTATTTGGTACAGGGTCTCCCTACTGTAGCGATCCTCTTGTTTTAGCCTTCCCAGTGCTGGGGTTACAGGCGTGGCCACCACACCTTGTCTCCATCAATTTCTTGATCCTCCATGGCTCTGGTCCAACTCCAACCAAGTAAGCAAATACTAAATGAATTCCCATGAAGTTTTCCAAATTGAAAAGCCCTTAGCAAGTCCTCTCTTCCTTTTCACTCAGTTCCACTTCCCCTGGTTATAAGCCCAATACCTAATTCTTGTTGCCTCATCCTAATAGATCTCTCTGTTAGGGAACGTAATGACTTTTTCACTTTTGGAAAAAAGTAGACTTTAGTTCTAGTTTGCTAATTTCCAGCAGTGCAAGGTGGGATGAGTTATCTGAACTCCCTGAAGTCCAAATTTCCTGTCTATAAAATTGGGGATACTATATCCCCCCTCAAGTGATAGGAAGATTCAAGGATCTAATCTAAATAATGGATAAAGTAGGAAAGGTTTGATGAAGAACAGCTGTCAGGCAGCTATGAGGTTATGAGAAGCCAGCCGCCTGGGCCACGCCTTTCACTGTACAGATGAGCAAAGGCTGCTGAGCAGAGGTGGGGAGGTGAGCAGGCTCGCTCTCACTCACGGGCAAGCAGTAAGGAGGATTGCAGGTGAGTTCTGACCCTGGTTTCCCTGTGCCTGGCTGCGCGGCTTATGTCAGAGGCAGAGAGAGAGAGAGAGAGAGAGAGAGAGAGAGAGAGAGAGAGAG